TTGTGTGTGTTTGTGTGTGTTTGTGTGTGTTTGTGTGTGTTTGTGTGTGTGTGTTTGTGTGTGTGTGTGTTTGTGTGTGTGTTTGTGTGTGATTGTGTGTTTGTGTGTTTGTGTGTTTGTGTGTTTGTGTCGGGGTGTGTGTGTGTGTGTGTGTGTGCCTGTGTGTGGGTGTGCGTGCGTGCGTGCGTGCGTGCGTGCGTGCGTGTGCGTGCGTGCGTGTGTGTGTGTGTGTTTGTGTGTGTGCGCAGGTATTTGTGTGTTTAGTCCTCGAAGGAGCCGCTTGCCCGCCACAATGACGAACGGCCGACTCTCGGACGAGTCAGAGGCGGCTCCAGCACACATCTAGCGGCACGAGTGGCAGAGCCAGTTCAGGGCTGCCCACTTTAAAGAACGTGATTCACACTTCACGCATCCCCACCATGCAATTCAGAAACCCTGCCCTGGAAGTTGACGGAGAGACACAGATAGTGAAACAAAGTGGGCAACCAGGGTGAACAGAGACTTCTCTGGGAGCTGGGAGCAAGGGGGTGACCTTGGAGGGCCTCCTCGGGTCATGCCTGGGGCCCGCTTGGGGGCGAGGGAAAGCGAGAAAGTACAAATCAGTGAGTTCCGTACGTTTTTGAAGGATGTCGGCCTCCTGGCTTTTGGGGGAGCTCCTGTGGTGGCTCCGAGAGAACTTGAAACCGGCTTGTGGCCCTCGTCGGGCCTTTGGAGCCATGTCGGAAGCTATGTTGAACCATCTTCGGCTGTCTTGAGCAGCCTTGGAGGCTCTTGGGCACTCTTGGGCGACCGAAAAAGACCCTCTACCACCTCGCGGCCCCTGCCAAGGAACCTCGGAGGGGAAGGGGAGAGGGTTTTTTGGACGAGGAAGGAAAGAACTCGCTAGACCACCTCAGCCCAGAGGTCTGGTGGGATGAAGAATGGCGGGGGGGCCGCTGGAGCTGCGCGCGCAGCGCCCTGCAGGTGCTCGTCGACGGCCGCCGCCGCAACGAGCTCCGCGGGGGGCACGGCGAGCCGAAGCACGCCGCCGCTGGGCGCTCTGGGCCGGACGGCCAGCGCTGCGGCCTGCCGCCCGAGCGGCCTGCCGCGAGCCGAGGGCCCGCAGCCCCCCGCCTCGGCGCTCCGCGGCCCTGCCGCCCCCGCTGGGCCGCGCCGCGCCCCTCTCGCCGAGCGCGAGGCCCTCTCGGGGCGCCCTCGCGCGGCGTGGCCGCGCCCTCTGCGGGCCCCCCCCTCTCCGCCGGCAGGCGGAGCCGCGGCCCCGCGCTCCGAGGGGCGCCCTCGGCGCGAGACGCCGTGCCCGCCCGGCGCCCGCCGCGCTGCCGCCCTCGAGGCCTCCACCGCCGCCGCCGTCCGCCTCGCCTCGCGCGCCGCGGGCGCTCCAGCTGCACGCCGGCGCCTCGGCGCCCGCGGGGTCCCGCCGCCGCCGGGGCGTGGCGCCGTCGGGCGTCGCGGCAGTCCCGGGAGCATCGGGCGGCTCCTCGGCCGGCCCCTCGGCGCTAGGGGGGCGGGCGAGGCCGCGGCAGCGGCCTCCAGCGCCGCTGCCGAGCGGACGGGGCGCTCCTCGGCAGCAGCCGAGCGGCCGCTGAGCCACGTCCCCGGCCAGCTGCGGCGTCCACCGATGCCGACAAGGCAGCCCCGCGGGCCGCTGCCAGAGCAGCACCACGATCGGTCGCCGCCGACACCGGAGGCATCCAGCGAGCCACTCGAGGCCGGCCCTGCGGCGGCAGGCTCGACGCGAGACGGCTTCAGCCACAATGGCTGCGGGTGTGGGTGTGCGTGAGTCTCTGCATCACACTGCCTCGATGCTTCTGCCCAGCGGTCGACTACCCTTTCTGAGATCGCCAGTTCTAGCCGCGCTGCCTCACAAGGGGGCAGATCCGCTTCACGCGCGTCCTCATTCTGCGCGCACCCGATTCGAGTCACTAGCGCGTCGAAGGACTACTTGTGTGTGTGGTTGTGTGTACGTGTCTATGTGTCTCGTGTTGTGCGCCAGTGTGTGCCACTCCGTGCGTGTGTGTGCGTGTGTGTGTGTGTTTACGTTTGTGTGTGTGGTGTGTGTTCCCGCTTCTAGCTACGCCTGGGCGCTGCACGCGAGCACCGCGACGCCAGAAACTTGTGTGCATATGTGTTTGTGTGTTTATGTTGTGTGGTTGTGTGCTTGTGTGTATGCGACTGCCAGTGCGTGTGTGTGTGTGCGTGTATGTATGTATGTGTGTATGTGTGTCTGTGTCTGTGTGTGTCTGTCTGTGTGTGTGTGTCTGTGTGTGCGTGTGTGTGCGGGTGTATATCGTGGTCTGTGTGTGTCTCCATGTGTTGTCAGCTGTAGAGACCAATGGGAAGCGTTGCTGCAAGTCCACTGTTGCGCAATCCTATCGCTCCTCCTTCTCCTTCTCTGTCCTGCTCAGTCCTCCTGACTCTTGTGGCCGCACTCCTCCAAAAAGCGAATGCCTCCAAGACCGTTGGCTCGCGATCCGTCAGCCGCGCCCCATTGTGTTCGAGTGCTGTATTCGGGGGCACGCTGTTTGACTTCCGTACATCACGAACGTTGTAGGCCTCCCTCCGCATCAGCTCATTGCTAGATGAGATCATCATGTGGTTTGTCAGGAGCCCGTCCCACGCAATGTGCGAATGCATCATGTCCTGCAGCAAGGTCCGGCCTGGCAACGTACCCGTCAACGCAGCGCAGTGCGATGAGCATCACGTTGGAAGCAGCAGCAGCTCCTGCAGCCAATCCCTTCCATCCTGGATCCTCATCTTTCTGATCCTCGTCCTCATCCCCCTGCATGTCCTGTGACCGAAGCCTCGAAGTGGCCAAGTCATGGAGCTGGCGCAGCAAAAGCTGTGTGCAGTTGATTAGTTTGCGAACATCTCCCTTCACGGCCTGGCCATTCGTCAGCACGAGGCGCTGGCAGCGGTGCAGCCACAGGGTGTGGCTATGTCCTCGTTCGCCCTTGCGCCCATGTCGGGCAGCATGTCGATGTGCTATGAGTCGTTGCTTCCTCCTCCTATTCATTATCCACGTCGTCTTAATGTCACTTGGCCTCTGATCTTGGTGGGGATACATGGAACGTCAAGAAAGTATTGTATTACTTGTGAGGCGATGCTCAACAGCGTTCTATGACGTGGAGTGCTGGCATTGCCGCTACCAGGAGCGAGCTGGATTCGCTTGCACGTATTCTTGCCCTTGCGGTTCGTGATTGGTGGACGAGTCTTGGCGAAGTTGTGGGATGTGATGTCCGATCTGACGTTTTAGCGGGTACTACACTGGCGGTTGGTTGTAAGCGATTGGACGAGTATAGCGCAGGTCGTTGTGTGAAAAAATATTCGTCTTGCTCCACGTTCTCCTGCCCCTCCACCCCCGATTTTGTTCTGGCATCGTTACACGTCTACCCCCCAAGCAGCGCTTGCACTAAAGGGGCCTCGCGAAGGTTAAAAGATTGAGCGAAAGTGCGCGGCCAGTTCCGGCAGGCTGTACAGTGCGGACGCGGCCGCAAGAAACCCTCGCAAGAAACCCAGCCTTGAAGACCCCGCGCGAGAGGTGCGACGGGGGGGAAGCCCAGGGCACCCTGACCGAAGAAGTTTCTTCAACGGCCGCGGGAAGTCACCGCGCAGCGCGAGGAGCGAAGAGACCCAGGGTACCCTGACGAAAAGCATAGGGTTCCTTGGTGCGCGCCCCCACCGTAAGATTCCCGAGTTCCCGATGTTTGGTTCGCCGACCTCAGACGATCGCGCCGCGAAGGAGACACGACCAGAGGTCGTTTGCTTGTTTCCGGCCTCTGGGGGCCCTCGCCTGGCCCCTGGGCCGCCAAAGACAGCGCAGGATGGACAGCCGTTCCCGAGGAAGGAGTCGAGGAACGGAATCATCGGGTATCGCCAGGGCCCCACGGTGAGGGGACCCGGTTAATGGCAGGGCCCTGGAGCCCCTAAAATTGGCCAGGATCACTAAGCCAGGTCTGCTGCAGCTGGTGCTTTTTTCGGGTGACGGCAGTTCTGGTTAGTGGAACGGAGCGAGGGGGCGTCCCCCAGGACACATCACTAAACCAGGTCCCATTAAACCCAGCTCTGCCAACGCCCGAAAATATGACGTCGGAGGTCTGGGTCCCAGGGGCCGGATTCCCAGTTGTGGGGTCACTCACTGGCTCAGGCCGTGTTCCCAGGCTCCCAAGGGTAGAAATTTGATAGATGGGGTTACACGAGTACACGGGTAGGGAGAAGAACGAGGCGGAGGAGGAGGAGGAGGAGGAAGAAGAGAGCATGGAGAGGACGAGTACGATGGGGGAGCAGGGTGCAGGGGAGGAGGAGGAGGAGGAGGAGGAGGAGGAGGAGGAGGAGGAGGACCGCCGGTGGTACTTCCAGAAACTTCCGAGACTTACGGTGGCAAACGTGGCCTGAGGACGTTGTGTCGCTCCTTGAGCCAGAAGGGGTGCCGGGCACGCCCCTCCTTTTGCCCTCCTTCAAGGGAGGAAAAACCACCCGGACCAGACAATTGGCGTTTACTAAACGGCTCTTGTCGTTTACTAAACAGCCCTGCCCTGTTTGATTCCGTCTTTGGGGGCGTTTACTAAACGGCTTCGCGTGTCGGGGTGGTTATTATCGGGGTTGATTTTTTGCCCTCTACTCCTCCCCTCCCCTCCGCCTCTCCTCCGACCGCCTCCTCCAGCCCCTCCCTGGCTCGGCGTTGGCCCCTCTCCCCACCCCTCCTCGTCATCTGCTCAGACATCGAGCTGTGCTCCAGAGGCGTGCGTCATCATCCTGCCACCTCTCTCGACGCTGGCAAACTCCGAGCATCGGGGCTCGGAGCCTTCGGATGATATGAGCAAGCGGCGGAACGCAGAGAACGAAACCGACTGAGGCGCGGTGGGCTGCAAGTTGGACCCAGGCGGGCGCAGCAGGAAAGAAAGGCAGAGCGAGAAAGAGAAACAGTGCGGAGGCCCGCCAAGGCATCGTCCTGCCGCCGCCCCCTCCTCGTGCCCCCCCCCCCTTCTCCTCCGACGGTGGAGGTGTCGAAGGAGGCGGCGGTCAAGGCCGAGAAGATGCTGAAGCAGGCGGCCGCCACCTGGGATCTTTGCGAGACGGGCCCCTCGTGGTCGTCGCCACCGCCGGCGCTCGACGCTCAGAAGTCCGTCGCCGCCGTCGTCTTGGTCGTGGTCGTGGTCGTGGTCGTGGTCGTGGTCGTCGTCGATGTGGCCGGTGAAGTCTGAGGAAGGGGAGGGGGAGGTGGAAGGGGAAGGGGGAAGGGGGAAAGGGGGAAGGGAGAATGGGAAAGGGAGGGGTGGAAGGAGGGGGAGGTGGAGGAGGAGGAGGAGGAGGAGGAGGAGGAGGAGGAGTGGCAGGGGCGGAGGGGAAGGGGGAAAAGGGGAAGGTGGAGGAGCAGGAGGAGGAGGAGGAGGAGGAGGAGGAGAAGGCTTGAGGAGTAGGAGGGAGAAGGGAGGGGGATGAAGAGGAGGGCGAGGACCAGGTGTCAGGCGATCGCAAACATGGATTAAGGGCGCGTGGTTTAGCGACGCGTCCCGTCTCCATGGGAAATCGCGGATTTCCGCCGCCGAGCGAGGCGGCACCAGCCGCATTTTGGGGAGGGCACCTCCCCCCGATCCATGGATCGGGCGACCGCGCGCCAGATCCATGGAACTCGAATCCATGTTTTTGCGCCCCCGAAGCAGGACGAGGAGGACCAGGACGGGGGAGGGACCCTCAGGCCTGGGCGTCGTGAGCGGCTGGGGCACGACGGCCGCTCCTTCCCGCCTCTTTCCGGGGGGCGCGGATTGACCCTGCAAGAGACATCGGGCATCAAGATGGGGTCGTCGGGGGCGGCCAAGAGGGTGGGTGATGACTAGGGGGGGGGAATATCATGGCGACGGCCATGATATCTCCCCAGATTTCATGACGCCTCTTCTCATTGCAAGTCGTTCCCTGGCCCCCCCCCCCGTGGTCCGCGCACGTGCCTCGGGCCATGATTTGCACACACCCCTCTTGGACGCCCCCCTCCTGGACGCTCCCGAGGTCGATGGCCAACGTCTGCAGGTCACGCGGGGGCGCGAAGGTGACCACGCGTCGCGCGTCGCGGCCCCCTTCCAGGGTGGCCGCGCGAGGGCACGAAGAGGAGCCGTTCCTCGCACACCGCGCGGCGCGCAGCGCGACGACAGGCGACCCGGATGGCGCTGGCCTTAAGTCGGGCCTGTCCTTCTGCAGGGCGAATATTCAAAAATAGTAAAACAATGTTCTGAGGACGAACTTCATAGCATTCGTTTTGTATTGTTTCCCGTATTGTGTGGGTGTTTGGGATTTTGCCCCCGTAGGGGGACATGCCCGACCTGTCGCTGGCCATGACCTGTCCCTTTCGCTGCTTCTTTGGAATGTGCCTTGCACGTTGCAACTCGCCTGCTAGAGTCACGTGCAGCACGGGCTGGAAGGACGAGTCTAGCATACACACGGTCCCCCCGGGCCCCCCGCGCTGACCTTCAAGGGTCCCGCTCCCGCGGATCTGCGCGCTGCGCGTCGCTCCGCGCTTCGATTCTGCATCGGGCTCGGGGCTCCCAGCCCAAAGCCGGGCGCCGTGGCGAGCTGGGGAGGCACCGTGTGGTGCCTCAGCGGGGATGCGGGCTGACCGCCTGGTTTTGGGACTCGGGTCGTTCTCCGAGCATGGCTCGGGCGATTGGGGCCTCCATGGTCCCGGGGCAGCGTGGTGACGCATTTGGAGAGTCCACGGTTCCTGCACGGTCCGTCAGCGCACCGCCTCGGGACCCCCATGGGACCCGCTTCCCCCGGGCAGAAGGCCCCCGGCGAGCGGGCTGGCGAGGCGGCCCGACGGCGGCGGCGGCGGCGGCGGCCTGCGGCGACGAGCGGCGGCGGGGCTCTCGGCACCCCCGGGCGTCGTCCACGCGGCCGTCGAGCATTGCTGGCGGGCGGGTCTCTCGGGCTCGGCCCGCGCTGCCCCTGCGGGCGAGGAGAGGGGGTGAGGCCTGGGAGGGTCAGTAATTGCCCGTTTCTGCCCCTTGCCCGTTTCTGCCCCTTGCCTGGCCCGCGCTTCTGTGTCGGCCCATCCCGGTGTCCGTATAAGAGCCGCCGCGCCCCGCGCTGCAGCGCTGGCGAATAGCCCGGCGTGGACAGCAGCTCGCGCCATGCTGTTGATTAATGTCTGCTCAGCGGGTCGGGCCCCAGGGCCGTCAAAAGCCAGATCGGGACGAAGGATGGGTTCCTTGGGGAGGCCCTGGGGTCCAGGGCTCGTTTCCTTCAGGAGGCGCTTGCTTCGTGCGAAACGGGGCCAGAAGCGGCCCACCAGCGCTGGCATGGAAGGCGGAGGAGGAGCATGCACGGACGCCTCAAAATGGGCGCCACAAGAGCAGGGACAGCAGGAGGGAGTCCCAGCAGCTCTGGAGGCCGCTGGAGACCTCGATACTCCAGACTAGCGCTCTTGATATGTTCCATTCGAACGGTTGCTTCCCAGCACCGTAGCTCGCCTACAGCTCGAATTAAGTAGAGAAAACCAACACCGCCTCTCGAACAATTGAAGAGTGCAAACAGTTGTTTGGCTGCAGCTCTGGTAAGCAGACCGATCTCAGACGTCTAGATACTTTTAGGGAGGAGGACAGGGATCCAGAGAGTCGGATGCCCTGGGCGTGCGGGCGAGAGCTGGGCCACGCACGGCAGCCGCGCGTCACGTGTGCCTGCAGCGCTCGGCCCTCGCGTGCACAGCCAGGCGCGCTGGCCGTCCGCGTGCGATTCGTTCTCAAGCGGCGCCTCGACGTCGTCGTCGTCGTCGTCGTCTTCCTCCTCTCGCTCCTCCTCGTCGCCCCCCTCCCCTCACCCTTCCTCCCCCTCCCGAGTCCGCCTCCTCCCTATCATCATCCTCCCCCTTTAACCCCTCTCTGTCCTCCCCCCCTCCCCCCCTCCCCGCTCCTTCCCCCCTCCCCCATCCTCCCGCACTCCCCCGCCACCCCACTCCGAAAATAGGCCTGCCAACTTTCAAGAATCTCCCCGCCTCCCCCGAATCCCGCCCCTGGGAGGCGGCCCACTGGGAAGAGCACGCGAAGGCCAAGGGCGGGAAGGGCCCCAGCGCCGCCTCCAACAAGAGCAAGAGCAGCAAGGCCGCCGCCCGCCCCCTCTGCCCACAAAGCCCATCAAGGCCCCCGGTTCTGAGGATGCCATGTTGCGCCTCCTCCCCCTCCTCCCCCTTCCCCCCCCTCTAACAGCATCAAAAGCAGTCAAGACATCGCGACACAAGCACTCCCAACGATCATGCCAAGCGGCGCGACGAGCCTGCAGCCTACCGCGAGCACCGAGCCCACCCGTGGCGGCTGCTCAGCCCGCCGCGGCGCACAGCGCAGCGGCCCTGACCGCGCGGTCTACCCCAACGGCCGACCGCAGCTGCCGCGCCCTGGCGCGCTGCAGCGCTAACGGCCTCGGCGGCGGCGTTGACCGCGCCGTTGTGCCGGGCCGCTGCTTCCAGCGCCGTTTCGTCGTCGCTGGGCATGGCGCAGCGGACTGTAGACGTAGGCAGCCCGTCCGCTGCACCTCGAGGTCGAGGACAGCGCGAGCGTCCAGCGGCCGCACCCGCCGCAGGCCCCCGGCGGCTGGAACGCGGCCCCGCACGCGGCGCAGTGGGCGCAGTGCCACGCCTGGCGGTCCCAGGCGGGGACGGGGACTTGGCGGGCCGTGTGGAAGCCGCATTTTTGGCGGATGCGCTCCCACGCGTCTTCGACATCCCTGCTGGGGGCTTTGACGCCCCCGCCGCAGGAGCATCGAAAAGCGTCGCGCACCTGGCTGCGGAGCAGCTCGCTGCAGAGGCGGCAGGCGCGCCGGCCAGGTCGCGTGCGGTTCGCGCACTGGGCCCCTGGCAGCGCGAGATCCTGGCCGAGGAGCTCGCGGGCCGTGTCGCAGTAGTCTCCAGAGTGCGGTCCGCCGAAAAAGGTCAGCCACACCCGGTCCTCGCTGGTGCTGGTACTTCGCATGGCCTAAATGTTTTCGCTGGGCCAGCCGCCGCGTGAGCTTCTTGTGCACCTTAGCGCCAGCTTGTTTGGCGAGGTGAGCCGGCACAGGGCTGCGGCAGCGGCAGCAGGAGGCGCGCGGCCTGGCAGGCGGCCGCCAGGGGTTGCTCGGCCACCTCCCGGCCGCCCAAGCACAGCGGGAGTTTGCACTACGCGCGCTGGGGTTCCGTGAGCGGGTCCAGTCGGGCCAGGCGCTCGTGGGCCGCTGTGCTCGTCGGCGGCGTGCTCCCGAGCACGGGCGCGGGCTTCCCCGTGCCGCAGCGGCTCCGCGGGCAGCTCCACGGGCTTGCTCAGGAGAGGGGCGGCGCGCCCTGCCATGCCAGCGCAATGCTTAGCGGCGTAGCCAGTGGCCCCCAGCGCCACCCCGCGTTCGTCACTCTCGTCGGGGAGGCCCCTGGGCGTCGGCGCGGCCAGCGTCGCCATGGCCAGCGTGAGCCCCAGCGGGCGCCTGTAGTCTTCCAGACCATCTGGGTAGGCCGCCCGCGTAGAACAGGCCCTCGTCTTGGTGGGTCCCAGTGCTAGGCCAAGCTCGCCGAGGGCCCGCAGCGCGGTGGGCGGCACCTGGGTCGCCAGCGCCGCGGGAAGTCTTGAGCGGGAACCCCCTCCTTAATGGGCCCGCAGATCATGTTCCTGAATCCCGAGGAAGCCTCGGGCGGGAGCCTCGTCTGCGAATCAAGCGCCAGGAAGTCCCAGGCCGGGGGCCCGCATCCAGAGGAAGTCTTGAGCGGGAGCCTCGTCTGTGAGTAAATGTTCAGGAAGTTTTGAGCTGGATCCCTCCCCTGTGGGGCCCGCAGCTGATGCTGCAATTCGAGGCGACCATCGGACCCCAGAGGACGTCTCGAGCGGGAGCCTCGTTTGTCAGCGAGTTGTGAGGAAGTTTCGAGCGGGAGCCCCATCCATGTGGCGCCCGCAGCTCACGTTGGTGATCCGAGGCGGCCATCGAACAACCTTGCATCAAAACATGTTCAATGGCACCTGGGAACTTGAATCCCAAGGACGTCTCGAGCGGGAGTTTCGCCGGTGCAAGTGCATTGCTAGGAAGTCTCCGCCACCCCCTCTCTGCGGGGCCCGCAGCTGACGCTGGTACTCCGGGGCGGCCATCGGCAAACCTTGTAGAACAAATAGCCTGGCGAAGGACCCAACCATATGCAGGCGTGAGTACCGCAATTGTGATTCACTGTTTCGGTGGTGATCCCTATGAGGCAATGAACCGTGCTAGGGGCGCGCCGAAATGAGTGGCGTGGTACACAACGCGAACGAAAACGGTTGATCTGAGTACGTAGGGAGACTGAGCGCGTGTGAATATGAGCTCGAGTGCGTCTGACTATGAAGGAATCTGCGTGCGAGCGAGTCTACGTGCATGAGTGCGAGTATGACAAAGCATGGTGTAATTGTATATGAATGTCAAAAGTTTGAGAATGACTGCCTCTGAGTACTCGCGACGCTGGGCGCGGCCGCCGAAAGGAGCTTCCCCGGGACTCCCCGACGGCATCGCCCGCGCGCCGCGACGCCAATGTCGGCGCGCCCCCCCGCGAGGATCGCGCCCGCTTCCTCCCCTTCGTCTGCTGCCACTTTGCCCGCGCACTCAAAAGTCCGAGGCCGCGGGCGCAGCGCAGCGCGGAGTCCCCGCGAAGCGCGCAGGTCGCCCCGGAAGGGGTCCCAGCGACGCGCGCGGGTCGTCCGCTGCGCGGAGCAAAGAGAGCTAGCTGGCTGGCTGATAGCGGGCAAGGGTCTTGCCGCTGGGCAGAGCGACGACTGGCGAGCGAGGCGCTGGGCAGAACGCAGCACGCAGCCCCCGCGACGCGCGCCGGTCGCCCCGGAGGGGTCCCAGCGACGCGCGCGGGTCGTCCGCTGCGCGGAGCAAAGAGAGCTAGCTGGCTGGCTGATAGCGGGCAAGGGTCTTGCCGCTGGGCAGAGCGACGACTGGCGAGCGAGGCGCTGGGCAGAACGCAGCACGCAGCCCCCGCGACGCGCGCCGGTCGCCCCGGAGGGGTCCCAGCGACGCGCGCGGGTCGTCCGCTGCGCGGACCAAAGAGAGCTAGCTGGCTGGCTGATAGCGGGCAAGGCTCGCCTCTGGGCAGAGCGACGACGGGCGAGCGAGGCGCTGGGCAGAACGCAGCACGGAGTTCCTGCGACGCGCGCCGGTCGCCCCGAGAGGGCCCCAGAGACGCGCGCGGGTCGTCCGCGGCGCGAGGCCAAACAATTAGTCAGACCGTCGAGAGACGGCGAGGCTCGGCCGGGCCGCTTCTCAGATCAAGCCTCGCGGACAAACTCGGTGAAGCCCAGCTCCCTGGCGAGGGCCGTCGCCCCCCTCCTGCGCCGCTTCGCGCGCGCAGCAAACTGCTCCAGCTGCTTCCGCAAGCCCCCCGGCGGCCCCGCCAGGAAGAACTCGATGCGCGTCGCCGGCATGAGCAGGAGGTCCTTGGGGCGCGTGGCGCGCGAGAGCAGCGCGTGGAGCTCCAGCCACCAGTCGTCGTCCTCCTTCTTGCCGCCCCCCACTTCGTGGCGGCCGCAGTCCAGGATCACCCCTGGGCGACGTCCGCCGAGGGAGCAGCGCGCTGGAAAGGCGACGGCCCAGGGCGAGAGCCCACGGGACCGAGAGAAGGTCTGGCCGCGGACTGCTCGCGCCCAGCAGGTCTGGCCGAAAACTGCCCCAGAGTGCTGTTCACTCGCCCCGTGGCCTCCGCGCGTGGCGCGCCCCTGGCGCGCCGCCGTGGCGATGGCCCTGCCGCGCGAGAACGGGAAGCCCGTTCGGGTGGCCTTGGAGGCGCGGAGCGCGAACGGATCCGACGTGCGAGGCTCGACGAACATCAGCGGGCCCGCGACCGCGAGTTCACCCGCGAGGCTCTCGCCGTGGCGCTTGAGGTCGCCCACGAAGGGCGCGCTCGCTTACTTCTCCCTGCGCACCCAGAACCCCAGCGGCAAGTGCTTCAGATAGATATCCTTCTCCCCGTCTCTCTCGGCCTTGTCGACGTCGCCCCGGGGGCCTTCGGTGGAGCCCCCTATGGGGCCACGAAACGCTGTACTAGGTGAGGGAGACGCATGCGGACTGCGCCACGGGGACCTTCGGCGGTGCTCCACATGGGGCCACAAAACGCTGTACTGGGCGAGGGAGACGCAAGCGGACTGCGCCAGGGGGACCTTCGGCGGAGTTCCCTATGGGGCCACGAAGCGCGCGAGGGGCGTGCCGAAACGAATGGCGGGGACGCATGCGGATTGCGCTGTGCCGTTGGGACCTTCGGCGGAGCTCCTATGGGGCCACGAAACGTGTGAGGGGTGCGCCGAAAGGAGTGGCGAGGACGCGTGCGAACTGCGCCACTGGGACCTTCGGCGGAGCTCATATGGGGCCACGAAACGTGTGAGGGTTGTGCCGAAATGAGTGGCGGGGACGCATGCGGACTGTGCCACTGGGACCTTCGGCGGAGCTCCGATGGGGCCTCGAAACGTGTGAGGGGTGTGCCGAAATGAATGGCGAGGACGCATGCGGACTGCGTCATTGGGACCTTCGGCGGAGCTCATATGGGGCCACGAAACGTGTGAGGGATGTGCCGAAATTGGTGGCGGGGACGCACGCGAACTGTACCACTGGGACCTTCGGCGGAGCTCCTATGGGGCCACGAAACTATGAGGTGTGTGCCGAAATTGGCGGGGACGCATGCGGACCGTGCCACAGGGACCTTCGGCGGAGCCCGTATGGGGCCACGAAACGCGAGAGGGGTGGGCCGACATGAGTGGCGGGGACGCATGCGGACTGTGCCATTGGGACCGTCGGCAGAGCTCTTATGGGACCACGAAGCGTGTGAGGGGTGTGCCGACATGACTGGCGGGGACGCATGCGGACTGTGCCACTGAGACCTTCGGCGGAGCTCCTATGGGGCCACAAAACGTGTGAGGGGGTGTGCCGAAATGAGTGGCGGGGACGCGTGCGAATTGTGCCAGTGGGACCTTCGGCGGAGCTCCTATGGGGCCACGAAGCGGGTGAAGGGTGTGCCGAAATGAATGGCGGGGACGCATGCGGACTGTGCCACAGGGACCGTCGGCGGAGCCATTTATGGGGCCACGAAGCGTGTGAGGGGCGTGCCGAAATTTGTGGCGGGGACGCATGCGGACTGTGCCACTGGGACATTCGGCGGAGCTCCTATGGGGCCACGAAACGTTTGAGGGGTGTGCCGAAATGAGTGGCGGGGGCGCATGCGGACTGTGCCACTGGGATTTCCGGCGGAGCTCGTGTAAGGCCACGAAACGTGTGAGGGGTGCGCCGAAAGGAGTGGCGAGGACGCGTGCGAACCGTGCCACTGGGACCTTCACGTGTGAGGGGTGTGCCGAAATTTGTTGCGGGGACCCATGCGAACTGTGCCACTGGGACTTTCGGCGGAGCTCGTGTAGGGCCACGAAACGTGTAGGGGGTGT